CGTGGAGGTAGCCCGAGGAGGGAAGGAAGCAATGCATTGTTTCCTGCTGCAAGCAATATGAGTTGAGCAAGCGTGGAGGCGAGCAACGGTTCGAATTGGTAGAGAATCGCCCAGAGAGGTGAGAGAGAACGGGCAAGAGGTTAACGCACCACGGTGATTGGTCTTGCACTACCAAGTCGTGGGCGGTTAGAGAACGAGCTCGGGCCAATGAGACCCCTTGCCGCTTCACCTTTGGCAGGCGAAGGGTGGGGCATCTGGGAGGTGCTCCTGCAGCCGAGGGACCAGGGGTGAGACTGGGGCCGTCTGGTCTGCCGTCAGATCATCGCATCCTAGCGGGATACTTCCGAACACTGCAACAATGTGGTGGGATGACATGTATCTGCGCTGACCTGGAGGTGTCGTCCCAGGTTTCTGCTGGCTGTCGTTGTCCTCGCTTCCACGACACCACACGGTCCAATGCCCAAGACAGACGAAGCCCGCCAGCCCAGCCCCCAGCAACTACCTTATCCCCAGCGCACTCATAGCAGCGCTGAGATGCCCTGGAAAGACCAGCCCTTCAGTAATTGCTTACTGGGTAGAGTGCTAATTGTGGCCTTGATGCGTTTCCCAGCCCACTTTTGGAGGAGAAATCGACAATCTAAATTGCCCAACGGTCGATTTAATCTATCTAGCCCGGCCATTTCAGCAAATGAACGTGGAGAGAAATCTACGATAGGCAACTCAGGGACGGAAAACAAATGGTCGAAAGAAACATTTCCCGCCATTGCCCGTCCCTGGTAGGTGCAAATACAGAATTAGACATCCTCGTCTAAGAAAAGTATCCGTACAGCAGCAGTAGATATTGCGCTGCGCTGTCACACAGCCCAACCACCGCGCAATTGTGCTCTCCCCGCTCCTCCTACACACATCACCTGTCGCACGAACTCAATCGATCTTCCAGATGGCGTGGAAAGCGTAACGGAGATCGTGCACCACCCACTCACACACACCCAATTGCGAGAAAAGATCCGACATAGCCCAAGGACCCCGAACTTCAGACAAGATGCAATTCCATTGAGCCTCCAGCAAAAAATCCAGAGTGTTCATGCCATCTGATCCTCAACCAAGCCCTGAGACGGCTGATCAAAACCGCCTCAGACAGACGCAAGTTCCAGAATGGCTGTGCTGAGGCACATGTGGTTTGAGAAGATGGGACGGGCTGTCCGCCGCCCGGTCGCAGGCGTTGTCTCGTCCGAGCCCAACCCTGTCGCTGTTGTCGTTCTGTTGACCGCTACCGAGGACAACCCCTGTCTCCCGTTGCCCCAAGAGTCCCATTCAGACCCCGTTTGGCTCACAAGCTGGGCATACCACATGGGACTTATTGGACATGGATGATTTTTTCCTTTCTTTTTTCCCCTGTTCCGCTGTTCTTGAGCGGCAACGCTCTGTATCTCGAGACCCACAGCGGACGCCATCTCAAGCTTGTCAGTGACCAGAGTGACGACAACCACGGCAGTCGTGAGTGCAGGTGGAGACACATGAGTCGATATCAAAGAAGGAACAGCTTCAATAACCTCTCAGAATGCTGAGGTGGAAGTGAGTGACTGTCAGTTGACTGTCATCCTCGGTAGCCTCGCCGCGAACCTGATGAAGCCTCACCATGGACAGCTGACGCCGCGGATGACAACCGAGCAAAACGGTGGTGTCTACCACAGTACGCTCTCTTATTCAGCAAACCTTTCAGATGCATGAACGCCTGCCCTCCCCCAACTTCGTCGACGTTACGCAACGAGGCCCCTGCTTTCCTCACAACTCTCGACTCGGACCGACGAACAGACGATGGGGGATGAACGCTGCACTTCAGTCCGCGAACAGACCGCCGAGGGGACAGTGACATTGCCCATCGAATCTGCCAAGCAACCCATGTCGACAGAACCTTAATCATCAGCGTCAAGATGGGGGCGAAAGGGGGCGGCTTTGCTTCCGCTACCAATCGTCCTCGACTCTGGTCTGGTCCGGTCTGGCGGTCACACCGACACACCCACCCTGTCCGCGACGTGAACAACTCGTCGAGGTCCATTCCTCCGATGGCTGCTTTTCAGACGGTCCATCTGGGATGTAAAGCCGTTGTTTTCAAAGCGTCGCTGGATTTTTTTTTTTTTTTTGCGTCAACCACCGTCAGCTTTTTGCCCGGATGTCACTGCTGACAGCTCTGATCGATCGTTCCAGGCTGAAGCTACCTTTCCTTAGTTGAAGGCGGGAGGATTTGCCCATGTTGCAGCCGCCGTCTTGTCCATCACCTTGACCACCCGCAGTATCAGCCTCTCGCCGCCAGGTTTGGACTAGAGAGGCTCTCTGTGTCAACGACTCTAGCGCGGGCATGCATCCTTGTATCACCTTGCGTCTCCGGGGATGCACTTCTTGCGCAGTTGCCGCACTCGAGTCGAGCACGGTGGTTTATGGATACAATACACGCAATGCGTACCACCAGCAACCACGTCGCTGCTTGTCTGATTCAACGCTGTCACGGCGGGGTTGGGTTGCGACGCAAAAAATCGATAGTCCCTCGGGCCAAGATCACGCAGAAAGGATGGACCGCAATAAAACTGCTCAGATCTGGATCTCCTCGGCAGACAAGTGGCGGGTTTCCAGGCCATATTTGACTCTTGTTCAATTTGGCAATATGCTCGCCTGCCGAATCAACGACACTGCAGCACATCCGCCGTCTGCATTGGTACGCTGCAGGATGGGCCTAAAAATAAAAAAAGACGAGGGGGAACATCGCCGCTGGGAGCCCTGAGAGTGCGTGTGGTCAACTTTATTTGCGCGGGCGGTTCACGGCTCTTCGCCATTGGCTCCCCTCTCAGCAGTCCACATGGTTGCGGCCCACACTCTCCGGGGGTCTGGCCAACCATCTCAGCCGGCGCATCTGCCCGGAGGGGTTTGTCGTCACTTGTGCTACTGCAACCGCCGGGCAGATATCACAGCAATCTATTCACGCAGGCTTTCAACGACGGAGGCTGGACAATGGACGGCTCGGTCTCGCGAGGCGGTCAATTCCTTCTGGAATCACAACCCATCACTCTCGGCACATGAGCTCCACGCCAGAAATAGCCCCATCCCAGCGCCGTGGCCGTTGCGAGTGGCCCGACTTGCAGTGAGCTGCGAGATCTTCTCATGCCATGCAACGCCATATCCCCGCGCGCCCGGATCCAATGGGCCAAATTGCTCACCGACATCGCAAGTTCCATCGCTTGCACGTGGATGGCAAAAACCTCGGTCGCTTGCCCTCTTACTGTCGTCTTTCCCCCCACCAAGACTATCGATTCAAGAAACACAGTCTATTTCCATAACAGCGCTCATATCACCAATCTTTGGGGGCCATCATACGTCTGAAGGTTTGGTTTGTCAGATAAGCATACCATCCGGAATCCGACCTGGACCAAGCGCCTTCTCATCCATAGGCAAGCTTTCTTGACCATATCACAACGACTATCACGTAATATGGGTGTAATACGGCTACAATACGGCAACAATATGGGATCGTCCAGCCCCTCACCCTTGGTCTGAACGAACTTCAGGGTCCCCACTTGCAAGACTGTGTCTGGTCACTCACCAAAGACTCTTGCATGTGTTGGATGTGGCCTCTGCGGCACGACTCGGGTCACGGCTCCCAAGTGCCGCGTTGAGGTCACCAACGTGCATCTGCCAGTTGCTCGTGTCAGTCGTTTTTCTCTGTCTTGCTATTGCCGCACAACCCCTGTCTCCTATGTGGTGAACCCAACCCAGTCAACCGGGAACCAAGGCCATCCCCACTTGGAGGCGTCTATCTGCAGCAAAACTCACAACGCAGAGAAGGGAACAGCCAGCGAGGAAGACATTCTAGAGCTTTTCCACGGCCACCTCGCGAGATCCACGGAGAAGGCGAGAGGCGAAGCGAAAAACGTCGGGGCAGAAGAACCGAAAAACAACCATAAATCTGACGTAGATCACGAGTCGGATGAGACTGGCGACCAAACCTCGCGAATCGTGAACTTGAGACTCTCCCGAGAGATAGCCAAGACTGGACTGTCGATTAAGATGCTTTACTGGTACTTTGACTCTGTGCAGGCTACTCTAAACGTTTGGGGGATCAAACGCGCACTGCTGCACCTCAATCTCGTTACTGTCTGTTCTGATCTGCAGTCGTCGTCAGTGAGGAATAATAGTAGATTCATGGTGGGAATAGCAAGCCGCGGGGGAGGGGAGGGGTGAGGTGCGAAGGGTGAAGGGTGGGATTGATCAGCACGGCTCTTGGGCACAGCCGAGATGTGAGGGGAAGAAGCTGGGCTTAGACGAAGGAAGGACGAGGTTGTGACGGCTCTCTGCACGCCCCGACGGCAAGTGCCTCATGTTGTCGTTGGACACCCGCACCAGTTGCGACACCACGCGCGGCTTTTGGTCCGGTTCAGAACTGTCAGGAGACTCGCGACCGCCCATCTGAGCATTGATCCCGGGCTTTCATCTGACGTTATGAGACGCGACAGGTGAAATCTGGCAGTAGTTCCAAACAACTTTTTCCGCGGGTGTCAACTAGTCTTCTGAGGCACGAACGACTAGTAGTTGTGACGGGCACGCCTCTTTTTTTATTCTACTGAATTTTGGTTGTGACCCTGCTCAACGATTATGTTGGCGGAGGTGGCTTGTCTGGCTGTCAAAGCCTTCAAACCCCACCATCTAAGCGGGTTGAGATCCCCCTCTCCCCCTCCCCTCTCTCGTCTCAAGTCTCGAGTTTTCAACCCCCTGGTGAGCAACACGGAACACAGCCTCCCCGTTCCTGCCATCAACTAGCCCCCTTATCGTCATGCAAGTGAACGCCCCAGGATCTGGAGATTCTCATCAGACAGCGGCGCAGACAGATGCCATCCGAATACCCAGCGTCGCATCCACCCAGCGAGTTGACATTTCCTTCCTGCGCGAAGCCTCCCCCTTTCCCACTTTCCCACTCTCCCCTGCCCACGACCCCGGCGAGATGGTTCCGTTCAATGCGCGTTGGTCTCGATCTTGAGGAAGTCGAGAACCCGCTTGCCGTCTGCTTCGCCCAGCAGATCGAGGATCCGCGCGCGCCCGTGGGGGGTGGCGGCGAGGGCGGCTACTTCGGCTGGGCAGCGCCCGAGTTCGCTGAGGAGGTTCGCGGCGTGCTCTGTCAGGGGACGGCCGGCGGTCATGTGCTGGAGGAGGAAGATTGAGGACTGCTGCGGCTGGGGAGGGGGTTGTTGTGCGGAGGAACGGAGCGCGGCGAGGGTGCTGGGTAGGTCGGAGGCGGAGGCCAGGGGGATGAGAGGTATGTCGTGCTTGTCGAGCATCCTATTCGGCGGTGTTAGTTGAGGTTTCCTGCACGCTGCTGTGATGTGATTGCAGTGGTGATGATTGTGACTGTGACGGGATGTGTGTGTGATATGGCTTACTGGATTTGAAGCTTCATGAACACCTCCATTGGGTCCTTCTTCTGTCCCAGCGGGTCCACGAGGAAGATGACGGCTGCGTTGCTGCCGCCTTCGAGATTGGCGAGGCGTTCGACGCGCTGCTCTGTGGTCTGGCCATCGAGGTCTGCTGGTGAGAGGAGGACGAGACGGAGAGAGCGGCGTTGCTCCGGGATAGGGAGGATGATGTCGTGCAATTTGATGTTGGCCTCTGTTGCAGTGTTAGTTTCCGTCTGCCATGGTCGAAAATCACCTTACCCTTGAGGCGAAGGGCATTGTCAGAAAGAGCGCGGACGGCTGGTGCCCATTCAGAGCGGCTTCGAAGATTGGAGCACCACATGTCTGGACGAGTTCAACGATTGCCCCGGCTAAGTGAGTGTCAAGATGATGTGAAGTCCAAGCTTAGAGTAGAAGTGGCAGTTGCCTTTTTGAATTGTGATTGGTATCTTTCTATGAGGTGAGTATAATTGATGGAAACAGCAAGAGCTCCCTGCCCGCTCTTGCCTTCAGATTCCTTTTCCAAGAGTTGAGGTTCCGTCCAAATATGCCGCCCAAAGTCTATACAACACCGTACAAATACAATAAAAGCCCGCTCAATGGTATCATGGTGTATCGTATAATCAACCGCCTTCGCCGCCTCTTTCAGCATTGCCCATTGTCTCATCTCATCCCTCACGCTGCTGTCGGCGTCGGTGGTGACTGCAAAGTCGGCAACAGAGGTTTCTTCGTTTTGGGATCCCTCAGCTCCCGCAGCGCATTCTCCAACGCTTCGTACCGTTGCTGCCGCTCCTCTTCGGAGCGCGCCAGCTCCTCCTCGCGGCGCGTGAGCTCTTCCAGCTTGGCGTCCAGCATCTTGATTCGTTCCGCGTTGTGATCCGGCTTCTGCGACGCCTTCCAGTACTCGTAGATAATGATGGCGCTTGCCACGCCCAGGATGAACGCATCGCCAATCACGTCCGCGAAGAGGTCGACGGCCTTGGCCTCGGGGAGCGGCCTGAACTTGCGGCGCCACACGCTCGTCGGCTTCTTTTCTGCCCCTCCGCTGGACGAAGAAGAGGACTTGCGCCTGGCGGCGGCCTCTGGGTGTCCGGCCTCGAGCTTCGCCTGTTTCGCCTTGGCTTCCTCCTCCTTCTCGACCTGCTCTTTCGTCTTGACGGTGGGCGCTTCGGCTTTTTCTTTGGCTCTCATCTCGGCCTCGACGTTACGGAGGAGCGCAACGGAGAGGCGCATGTTGAGCTGGTGTATCGACTGGCCATAGCGAGCAGCAAAGGCGCGGAACTTGGGGTGGTCGTGGGCTTGTGCCTTGATGCGGTTCTGCAGACGGCTGGTGTCAGTCACACTAAGGAACTAAGATAACGGAAGAGAAGGTTGGACTTACTGCGCCATACTTGGACACATGCCTCACGAAGAGGGCAGCAATCTTGAAGAGAGGCAGTGGCACCATGGTGGGGTGGTTCTCACGCGCCGATCGGAGGGGAGGGGTTCGTTGGTTGGAGGAGCGAGCTCCGAGAGCTCCGTGCTACGACTATGTCTTGGCCCGGGCTTGGCCGGAGCGTTTTCTCGTCAATTGGGTCGCGAGCGCTGGTAGACCTCACAGGCAAGGCAATTGAGGTTTCGTAGTTGCAAATATGTACAGAGTCAAGGAAATCGGGGTCTTCGGGATCGTCAATTAGGCAGCTGACGTCGCTGCGGGAGCTGGAGCCTTCCGTGGGGGAAATCTTCGGAACCCGCTCATTTGATGTTCCGCTTTATTTAATCCTTCGGAGCCGATTCGAGTACGGGCACCCCCGGCTAGGTAGCCGGAGTGAGACCTTGGAATTTGGAAGCTGTCGGTAAGGTAGGGGTCCGGAGCCTTTGGCCAAGTTTCGCCGATGAAACTGTCCAAAGTTCACCAGACCTTAGCATTGATCCCATCTACTTAGTCGCCGGCCTTCCTATTTTGCAGAAGAGACCTAATGGCCGTGTTGCTCACTGAATGCACTTCGAAGCCGAGTAGCGCTGGGGAGCATTTGTTGCTGAATGCGGAAGGAGTTCCCTGTCTGCTTACCTAAGGACGAAAACAGGCGGTTGTGGGGCAGCAGCGGGCACTTTGAGTGGCTCCCAGAGCAGACATTAGCGCTCCAAGCTTGCAGTTTCCAGGGCAACGGTACGCGAGAAGAAGGTCAACAGCGACAGTAACACACCAACAACTGAACCCGGTCCTTTCACTCCACACCCAAAAGTTTACCGTTTGTCTCAACGGCGCATCATCCCGACACCTCTGATCCGTGTGTGAGTTGCTACGCCGGTCTGCCTTCATTTGGCATTTCTATTGCTTCGTTTTGGTCTTTGACTGCCGGGAACTGTTTGTTCAGCATTTCCCCCCCCATTCGCACATGTACTCGCTGCTGCGAAACTTGTAAGTGTTTTGCGTCCCCCCTTCATTTCGTTGCTACCTACCTGCCCTTCGTTTTGTTTCGGCTCCTGCACTTGTTGCGGTCAGTGGAAGGTGCTTGGGACACACACTTCACTTTGCTTTCCGCAACTTCAATCCGTCTTCCTTTGCACTTTTCCAACTCGCGGTTTTCGCTCGCCTCCTCCAATGTGCTGACGATCGTGCCATTCCCAGGTCCCTCCTCTCCACCACCCAGGGACAATCCTGATTCTCGCATACCAACCTCTCTTGCTCCCGAGAGCTCGCATCTCTCTCGAGACCGCATCGACACACGAGACGCGCGCGGCCACAGCCATGGCCCATAGACTGGTGGCTAAAGGGGGCGTCGATTTGGAGGCCTTGTCGCCTAGGGACGCTAACGCTCAACGTATGCCAAAGGCAATCGAAATGAAGACGACGAAGCCAGTCGCCCAGCTCAAGGCGGCCAAGGACAAGGAGCCGCCGCCGCAACCCCCCGCCACTGTCGACGAGCCTCCGAGCTCAGACCGTCCCAATGGCGCCGTCTACCAGGTTGGCAGGATGCTCGGCAAGGGCGGTTTCGCCGTGTGCTATCAGGGATATCTCATGCCGGAGCGCAAGAAGTATGCCTTGAAGATTGTCCGGAGCCAGATGCCCTCCAAGATGATGCAGAAGGTCAGCAGCACGTCGCGCGATGATTTGATTTTGAGGTCTAACATCTTGCGCAGTTCCAAACCGAGCTTCAGATTCACTCCAAGATGAACCAGAAGAATATCGTGCAATTCTTCAGGGCATTCTCTTTCCACGACTGCATGTACTTGGTCCTCGAGCTCTGCACCAATGGCTCTCTCATGGACATGGTCAAGAAGCGCAAGGGCCTGACCGAGCCCGAAGTCCGTTTCTACTCTGTTCAAGTCGCTGGCGCCATTAAGTACATGCACGGGAAGGGAATCATTCACCGCGACTTGAAGATGGGAAACATCTTCTTGGACCACAGAATGAACGCCAAGGTCGGAGACTTTGGATTGGCTGCGTTGCTGGTTACTGGCCGGGACATGCAAACCATAAGAAGGACCACTTTGTGCGGCACACCCAACTACATTGCCCCCGAGATTCTCCAGAAGGGAAAGAAGGGACATGACCACATGGTTGACATTTGGAGTCTGGGTATCATCATGTTAGTCTTGCCGACGACGATCTGGGTGGAAAAGTGCTGACAGAGACAGGTTCGCCATGTTGACATCCAAGCCGCCTTTCCAGTCCACGAGCACCGAGGAAATCTACCGCCGCGCGAGAGAACGCGACTACGAATGGCCGAACCCAGAAACTTCGTCCAAGTTCATCAGCCAAGAGGCCAAGGACTGCGTTGCTACGATGCTCGAGGACGCTGATATGAGACCCGACCCTGACATCATTGTTCAACACCCGTTCTTCACCTGTGGCTACATGCCTGTGGAAGAGGACATGACCACTAGACTACTGACACTGCCACCCGACGGCTCGGAGTTCTACGCGACCCGCATGAGCTCCAACCTACAGGCAATCACCCAAAGAAACCACGAGGACATGTGCAGAGAATGTGGAGTTGGTCCTTGGACACCCGTGCAGGTGGTTCACACTCAGACCTGGAAAGAGATGGCGGCCGAGGAGAAGTCTGGCTTGACGCCAATGATTCCCCTTGGTGAGGATGTTGTCTACAGGCCGTTCGATGACTGGCTGGCGGAGAAGCGACAGGCTAGCGAGAGGCGTCAAGCACGCGCACTCGCTGCTTCGTCATCTTCCCGCTCCGAAAACACGAGAGAACAACAGCAGCTGGCTGCTTCGCAGACCGCGCCATCCGGCTTGCTGCGCCAGCCTCCCCAGAGCTTCGCTGCTCAGCAAAGAGCACAAAACCGACCTCCGGCTATGGCTAGCAGCACCAGATCACGACCTCCTCCAGAAGCGTCTTCACAACCTGCTGAACCTGTGCGGCCGAGATCCGTCAGACAACAATCCGCGCCGGAACCTCAAAGAACAAACCAAATGTCAGAAGCGCCATTGAGAAAGGCGACTGCCAGTCGACGAACGCCGCTACCGACAAGCCAGTCCACAAGCGCCCTCCCTAGTCAGGCTATGGTGCCGCAGTCCTCCAGCCAGCCCACCGTCACAATGACTGGTCTGATGGAGAACTTGAAGATCTCATCCGATAAGACGGAAATGGCTTCGCTCTTCAGCCCGTCAGAACGCCCAGAGCCGGTGGCTAGCTCAAAACCGGATGTTGTGTTGGAGCGTCTTCGTCGACTTCAGGGTGAATTGGAGCGTGCCCTGAACGCTCGCACGATGGCCATAATCTCGTCCAAGGACGTCACCCCTCCTCACCCCAACGTTGTTGTGAAGTGGGTAGATTACACGAACAAGTTTGGCCTTGGCTACATCCTGAACGATGGTGGTGTTGGCTGCATCCTGCGTGATATCCCCACTACTGAGAGCAGCAAGACCCTCACACTTCCCTCGGCGTGTATGCTCGTGCGTGATGCCGAGAGGCATATCGAGCGACGGCATGACGAGACATACCCTGAGAGACATCAGCCTCTGCCGCCTGGACAGGACATACACTTCTACGAGAACAACGGCGAAACGGGCTTGGCTCGAGTTTCGGTTTCCTCGAAGCAGTTCCGCGTACCGGTTTATGAGGACGGTACCCCTGGCAAGCTGAACCCCGGAAGGGATGTTTACGAGCACCGCAAGAGGGAGAGAGTCATCCTGTGGAAGAAGTTTGCAAACTACATGATTGCTTACGGCAGAGATGAGGCAGTCCCCGCCGAGGAGACACCTATTCGCTCGTCCGAGTTCACTGTCAACAACTCTCAGCCGTCGGACTTGGTGACCTTCTACCAACGCTTTGGTGATGTTGGTTGCTGGGTCTTTGGCGACGGGCATCTTCAGGTTAGCTTTTCCGTGTTCCAATGACCTGACTAGACTAACAAAATTGCAGTTCAACTTCCCTGATCATACCAAGATTGTTCTCAACGCTGCTGGAACATGGTGCCACTTCTGGCATCTCCCTATGGATGCGGCCCATAACCTGGCAACCACTGGCAGTTTGGGAGCTGCCGCGCTTGACGAAAGGGCTATGCTGTCATATCCCCTTCAAACGCTGCTCAATTTCCAGACGAAGCCCTCGTCAAGTCGGGCTACTCGCCCTACCACCACCTCCCGCCGCCGACCTGAAATCCCCGTTGAACTCCAGGGAATTCCGGCTGCCAACGACTTCCGTCGGAAGATTGAGTTCATCAAGAACGCCGTCAAGGAGTGGACGACCAACGGTGGCTTGGGCAACAGCGCCATGGACCGCGAGCACCGTCTGCGCTGGGGCGGCCACCGCGAGACGGTCATGGGCAACACCCCTATCAAGGGTGTTTGGGTTACTGTCGGAGCTCGCTGGGGCGACACCAGACTGTCGGCTTACATTGACCCGACCAACCCCATGGACATGGGAGAGGAGATTGACGAATCAAAGAAAAGACGTCACTGAAAGACAGAAGTTCTGGTACGCCCAGAGCAAGAGAGGACTCTGCATTGTTACGCATGTTTTATGGATAATTACATTTCAGCCAGTCCGGCTCGCCGGCTGGTGCTCACGAGATCATGCCATGGTCAACAAGACGAGGAATGGCTTTTGGGTTGGGCATCTTGGGAGTTTGAGGGCTTTGCGGACATAGCAATGGCGTCGTGGGAGCATAATACACTGTTACGAGTATCTACGCAGCGCTGTTAATTCCTTGGTTTTTTCCTGATGTCTGTCTACTTGCACCTTCGTTGATGTTCTCTTGTGTGGGTTGTAGTTGCCGTTGCCACGTCGTTGACTGACGTTGTTAGTCAGGGGAACTCAGCGTCCGCCTTCCAACTTTGGGTCTCAACGCTTGACCAGAAGGAACGCAGACAGCTGCTTCTCGACTTGCCAGCTTTAGTTGTAGGTAACAGCGACTGCCATGGCGCTTCTTTATCAAACATTCTCGCACATTTCCGCAACGTCACCCAAGCATCCAACATCACCATTGACATCCACCGCGGACGTCAACCACGGTATTGCAATCGTCGCATCATCACCACAATCGCTCAACATACAGTCACTCAGCCAACAGTTTTTAGCTTTATTCCCGCTACTTCTCACCAGGCTCCAGCCGTTCTGGCTTTATCTTCTTCTTTACCTCGTCATGGCTTCCTCATCGTCATCGCTGTTGCCATCGTCTCCGTTACCGTCCTCTTCCGCCTCTGCTCCCGATTCGCCCCCGCTAATATTCCACGCGTCGTCTCCGCCAACTTATCCACACTTTGGTTCCGCCGTTCCGATCATACTCTGGAATATTGATACCAATACTTGTCATACCTTTAACGAGGACCCGCCGGAATACATCACTCTCTCTCACAGCCACGAAGAAGACACCGAAGAAGACACCGAAGAAGACATCGAGACCATGAGACTCGACTTCATAACATACGTGGCAAAAGAGCATTGTATTAGTTACGCCTGGCTTGATCCACATTGCATGGGCCAGACACAGGACGAGATTAGTCGCTCTGTCGAGTCCATGTTCAAGTACTACCAGGGAGCCAGGTTCTGCTGTGTGTGGCTTCGAGGGCTGACCATTTAGAATGTGCGGGACCAATCTTGCCATCCGTGTTTCACTGAAAGTTGGTTACTTCAGAATCTGCTGGCGTCCACATGCATCCAAGTTTACGGCGGGGAACGATTATTTCTAGGACAGATCACAAAGATGACAACGCAAGAATCTCGAGAAGACTCGGAGGACCGCTTTCTATGTCGCCTGGCAAACAGCATGCGACTTCCACTCACTGTCTTGTCATATCCATGGCCTGAGATACACTCTGGTTTCACCGTTGCTCAGAAAATGAGCTGGGCAGCTGGACGAAGGACGCGGGAGCCTGAAGATAGGGCATACTCGCTATTGGGAATCCTCGATGTGAATGTGCCGGTAATATACCCTAATCAGGACGCCTTTAGAGAGCTACAGCAGAACGTCATCAGCAGGCATCCAAAAGACCAGTCAATCTTTGACTGGGCTCTCGGCAGTTGGCAACCTAGCACAATCACAGGAGGTTTGTGGGCAGAATCGCCAGACGAATTCGCCGGCTGCAACCGCGTCTCTTTTAAAGACGAAAATCTGGTCGTCGACGGATCGCTTATGCAATTAACTCCCCGACACTCGCTCTTCCTATCAGCGCCCATCGTGATGTCGGAGTCAGACTCCCACCATCACCCATACATGCTAATCAACTGTGCGATCAAAGCTCTTAATGGCAAGCTTGTCTCTATCGGTATCCCGCTATGTCAAAGCAGTGACAAATAATACTCCCGACCGGAAGGAATCACTCCGAGACCTCTTCCCTCTTCTTTACCACCGCACCCCCAGTACACGCACAACATCGAGATCGCCCCTAGTGCGGGCCTTCATGGGAGACGGCGATTCTCACTGGCATTTGATCCAGGATTGGGAGACATCCAGCATTGGTTCCCCGCCATTGGCTCTATTGCGTATTACCGGCTAGTCCATGACAAGGAGAATGGTCAAATTTGGCACTTTGAGTCCTATCCGGGGTTGGAAGCACCCACGCAAGAAATCCTTCATATACAAGTTGGAAAGTCGAGTCTGACCATGGACTTTTTGGCCATCAAGCTCGAGTTGAGTTGGGGTTTACGGACCTGCCATTGGGATATCACAGCCTGGCGGGCTGCTCTCACGAGAGGAAATTTCCAGAACTACCAGGAGCTCTTCTTCTACTACGGTTCCGCACTTCGAGTGGGGCGACGCGATGATGGGGTGCTTTATGTTGCAAAAGACTAAGAGCCCTTGCGGGACAGTGCCGGAGACGATACCGACGAGGAGAGAGGCCTCGAGATTAGGTTTGGATTCAATGACGACGCCGACTGGGAAGACGAGACCGACGATGGAGGGCAACCCGGGAGCACATTCGAGTCTACAGGGCAACTGGTGGATAACGAGCACGGGCGGCGACCCAGGTATGGTTTTGAAACCGACGCCGACTAGGAGGACGACGTAAACAAGGGCGACGATACCAATGAGTCCAGGACGACATAGACAGGGCCAATAACGATGCCGAAAATGCCGGCAGCAAGACCGAAAAAGAAATGCCGCGAAGACAGCGTTTGCTAGTTATGATAGTGTATAAGAGCAACCGTCAGCGGCTGGTCAGAGCGAGTATGCAATCGATCGCAATGATCGCAATTCTTATTCAAAATTTGTGTCTCCAAACTTCCCACGGATTACTAGTCGCCATCAGGGTGAAAAGATTGAGCCATTCGTGGTTGTTGCAGTGATCCTTGTACGCATCATTCCAGAGAGATGAATGCCTTGCCATCACGGAATGACGGCGACATCAGGTAAGGGGTAAGTCGAGTCGCCTGGATATCTAGAAGGGCGCTTATAGACAGCAGTTAGCTGGAAAGAGGAGCCGTTGTTTAGTTAAGTTAAACACTACCATTCAGCGGTGGGTCAGTTTAGTTCTAGCCGTGCGCCAAGGACAGCCCTTTGGAAGTGTGTTTATGCAATTTAAACGATATCTAAGAGCCTGGACTATCATTTAAAGTCGTAGTTTCAGTGTTGCTGCACATTGCTGGCTTCACCTATGTTTAACTCCTCCTACTACTCCTGGTAACAGCTTCTATCAGAATGACTTGATCAGTTTAGTTTCACGCAAGCTTCTCTATGTCTAGTTAAGTTTTGATTCTATAACTTCATGTCCACTTCGTCTCGTCGGTATAGCCATTGGTCCATTCCATGCAGTTGCTAGTGTCGTTGGTTTTGTCCCGCGTGCTGCCTTGATAGTCACCTTGCGCTTCCTTTATTACCACATACGACCACACCCACTGGAAAACTCGGGATCCCGTCCGCTCTCCCATAGATAAGCCAGTGAGGGCTGGATCAGTAGTTGGGTCGGTGACGACCAGCGAATACCCGGTGTTGTATGTTTTTTGGCGTTCTGATCTTCATTTTGTGGCTCTAATGAGGGACTGTGTATAGGAGAACAACAACTCCCAAACGAAGAGGTCCCCCTCCTCTTCTGAGACTCTATCCCTAGGGTGGCCTCAGAATGCAGTGTCTAATGTGGATTTGTAGACTTTTTGTTATACTGGGTGGAGTTCCTCGGCTCTTCGCAACTCCATCTGAGGGCGAAGTGCAACAGGGTGTAGGAGTGTTTTGCATCACAAAGGGTTATATTTTGGCTTCAACCTAGCTCATCGTCTGCTTCTCAGACATTTACATAAGTAGGTATGGAACGCGGCCGTCGTTAGAAATCTACACCAGAACAAAACCTCAGCGTCCACTTTTGCCCTTCGCGATCCCCACCGCGGGATGTTCTTCAGGACGGAATGATGAGTCGACATGTATTCACCATCCTTCACGAGATCCTGTCAACACTGTAAGCTTGAAAAAGTCGAATTCAGAGGCTTTTACAAACTTTTTTCGCATGCAGAAATTACCGTACCTACCAATAAAAAGCTCAGGGTCCCGTCCGCTCTCCCACAAACCACCAGCTATTCAGCGCTAGGTTAGCAGCTGATAACCATGCCTCGTGACATGTTGTATCCGTAAATAGATAAGGTAAACAGATAGATGCGGCCTCGCATACCAGAGCTAAACCGACGACTCCTCTCTCTCCTACCGCCATTGATCAAGAGTTTTGCTAGTCGGGCAGTGTTATTTAGCTATCCGGGCAGTGTCTACATACACGTGTGTAATCTGTAGCTCTTCTAAAGCAACTATATCTCCTATTTTCGTCTTCGTTATCGTTATTATCTATTATCGTCGTCGTCGTCGTCTCTACCGTCGTTATTCTTTTTCTTACTTCTATCGTTCTCTCTATATTTACGGATTCTAGGGGACGCTGCCCGCATAGCGAAATGACACTGCCCGACTAGCAAAACTCTTGATCAGTATCTCCAACCGCATTCAAACCTGTCCCTTCTAAACCGTCTTTCACCTCGATCCATGAAATCATGCTCAATCCAATGATGCGGTGGGAAAGGAGAGTCCCAAGGCGGATCAAACGGATGATGTGGAAACGAACGACGTGGAAACGAATGACGTGGAAACGGAGGATGTGAAAACAGAGGAGGTGGTGGCGTTGGAGGGGAAAACGAACAATGTGACGGAGGCGGAAACACCGGGGAAGGAGGTCGCGAATGCTCATGGAAGAAAGGATGACCCGGGGGTAGAGGATGGCCGTTATAGGTAGTTGTAGGAGCATGTGAACAGTCCGAAAGCGAATGTTAGGGAGACGGAGGTCGACAAAGCGGAGGTTGATAAGACGGAGGTCGATAAGGCGGAATTTGGACTGGCGGAGGTTGTAGAGGATACGGCACCGGCCGGGTCACTTCCACCGGCCGGGTCGGCGACGACTGTCCCCGACTGGGCCCGCAACAGGAACCGGCCCCTCCAGGGGTCAAAGGTATCTACCTAAGGTAAGGTACGTAGATTAGGTACGTAGGTAAGGTAAGGTACCTAGGATAAGAAAGAGTGGGTGGGTACACGAGGGTGCCCCTGCTTTAAGAACGAAGCGAGCAGGGGGCTCCCCTGGGAAGTGAAGTACTTATTCCAACGCCTTTCCACCTCTTCTCACTTTTCTCACGTATCAAGACCAACAAGGCGTACCATACCGCCTGCTTCTTTTCTAAAAAAGGCCTTCCCTACACCCACCACATCATCATGCCTACTACCTCGACTACTTTCCCTTCCTATCAAGAGCGGCTAGATGCGGGTGCAATAACCCTCACCCCCGACGCAGCCCGCATCTTTTGGAAGCTCCAAGGACCGCTGTCAACCTGCGTCTTCGTCGTGGAGGATCACCGCAACATGGAGTCAGCTCGCGAGCCCTACGCCCGCCAGGATTCCTGGCACCCTGTCTCCCAGGCATCGGTCACGGAACCCAAAATTGGGTCCATCGCCGTGACTCTGGACGCCCTGCGGCAGTGGCAGGAGAACTGGCTCGAGCTGCATGAGCGACATGCAAACCCCGACGATGACGATTGCGTCTTTGGGAAGCTAGATCCAGAGTTGTACGCTCAGTCGGATGATGAGGAGGAGAACGACGAAGACAATGAGGAAGACGGACTGGAACTTCTGAGGTGCTGCGGTACAGACCGACCCGCCAAGGGGAAGTCCCTGATTGTCAAACCTTCGGATGTTTCAAAGGGATATATTACGGTCCATGACTACATCTCAGCAGTCCACCCGTGGCTGATGGGTATTAGGGAAGAGATTATCCAAGCGGATAACGTGTGGGGGGACAGGACGGCAAAGGACTACGAAAGGCTGGTGGTCGAGTACAACATTCCGCGAACTTTGATGATCATGGACGAAGACAGGTTTCTCATGGCAAACGGCTCAAAGCAAAGGCCTTCTGCAGTCAGTACTACTTCATCCGGTATTGATTGGGCCGCAGTGGCGCGGGAACCTCCCAACTATAAGGGCATGTACATCCCCAACCTCGACACTATGCCCAAGCACATGCTGCCCAAGGACTTGCAGTAGGGCGCGTCTGGCTGCTGGTGGGATTTTGGGGGGGAATACGACTTCAAAGATTTCTTGGGGCGATTCGGCCATGAAATCGATGCACATGGTACTCGCAGCCTGGCACGCAACAATGCTACGGCAAACCCTAAACATGGTGGTGTTTCGTGGTTATTCCTGGGTCGTCTCCCACGAGAATTGATTGAAATCCAGTTCTTGAAGTCCTTGATTGTATCTAGGGCGTGTACAAGTCGAACCGCGAAGGTGCGATGGTTTCTCTCGAGGATAACCATGAGCGCGATGGTGAAAAGGCGAGGCGCATGGCAACGCTGGCGTCTCAAGGAACATTTCCGTTCAGCAAATCCGTTCGACCATCTCGAGATGGAACGTTCCAGCCGCGGCCAGGTCGCTCCGATACTACCGTGCCTCAGTCAAGGAGCAAGCGCTTGCTGATCTGCCTGGTGAGTTCGGAGTTGAGGCGTTTCGATCCCCCCGGTTCGGGCTGGGTGCAACGCTGCTGCTAACAAGCTTGAATCTTACGACTTGTGCTGACAAAACAGCGACCGATTGTTAGGCTGGTTTGGATGTAATATTGCCTTGCTTGGTCCCTTTCTTGCACTGCTCACGCATATTAATGGCTGCTGGACGAACTGCGCTGCGTTGCCGTGCGACTGGCGCGGACATGAATTGCCCTGTCGAGCAGACGCTCTGAGAGACGAAGCACACCAATTGAGGCTCTACTTAACGTGAACTGCAGGCTGATTGTTGAGAGACATGCATGGGTATCCTACTCTGAGACTAGAGGCGATTGATCATTACGCCGACCCGGCGTTTGCCGTACCACGCCATGATGAACTCCCAGCTCCTGCCTTGTCTCTGTTGTGGCTCACGAGATGTAGTCCTACTAGTATATAAGTATTTCGCAGAAATAAAAGCACAAATCGTGTTCGGATGGAGGGAGGAGCACGGCGCTTGAATCCAACTGATTCCTCTGCCACCAATTCGCGCAAACCACCCGCTCCCCCGTCCACTTACTTAACACTCCCTTGAAATCCAGCAGCCAGCAGCAACAAACACACAAACATGAACATGGACAAGAGAACAGCTGGCGAGCTCGCCACCGTATACGCTGCGCAAATCAAGGGGAAGATCATCCTGACGACCGGCGTGTCCCCTGGTGGTGTGGGTGCCGCCTTCGTCAAGGCACTTGCGACGGCTGAGCCCGCACTGCTCATCCTTGCTGGCCGCAACCCCGGTAAGGTCTAGCAGACTGGCGAAGCTATCTTGGAGCAAAGCCCTAGCGTGAAAGTCTGCACTTTGGACCTCGACCTTGCCTTGCTGGAAGGTGTCCGCAAGGCTGTGGCAACGGTAAACGCCTGGGATGATGTGCCCCGGATTGACGTCCTCGTGAATAATGCTGTGGTGATGGCCGTCGACTGGGCGGCCTCGCCCGAGGGACTGGATAGCTAGTTCGTCACGAACTACCTGGGTCCTTTCCTCTTCACTAACTTCATTGTGGATAAGTTGCTTAAGTTGCCTGCTCCCCGCATCGTTAACGTGACTAGTGACGGTTATCGTCTGGGCTTGGTCTGGTTTGATGATTATAACTTCTAAGTGAGCTTAATCTCCCCCTGCCCCCGTCCTGGGCCCTGAAACTATACGCGCTAACTCTTACTGCATAGGACGGTAAGAATCATAATAAGTGGCAGAGCTACGGCTAGTCCAAGACGGTAGTTATGCTGATGGCTATCTTGCTGGCCGAGAAGCTCGGCGCCTGGAATAAGCTGCTGGCGCTCAGCGTTCACCTGGGGCTTGTCATGAGAAACCTCGGTAGCCACCCTAAGCTGTACGGCGAGTCTAACTAAGACTTCGTCTTAATGAGTATGTACTGGTCTATCTGTCTTACGTCCCCCCTGAGATAAAGAGTCTGATAGAGAAGTAGTGGACCTCGATCACCTTCTTGGTAATACACCTGCCTTTATTGATTGGTCTAAGGTCTCCTTGATGCCTGATCCTCCTGAAGTTGGTGCTAATACGCTCGTGTATAGTGCCTTTGACCTGGAAGTTTCGAGTAAGTCTCTGTTGAATCACTTGTCCCTATTGCGATGCATTCATCTGACGTTAGTAGAGCATAAACGGGGCTACCTTCTCAGCTGCCGTCTGGCTACTCCCTGGACTGATACCGTGAGGCGATGGGCTATGAGTTCTATTGAAGCGGCGAGGCTTTGGAAGCTCTCGGAGAAACTGCTGGGTCAGGGGTTCTCCTTCTAAGGGGAAGCGACGACCAGCACGTACTGTGAAATCAACACGCTTTTAAACGACTTCTTTTTCAAAAAGGGCCCGACGCTTTCTTCGGAGCGGTGCGGTATACTCTAGAAGAAATAAACCAGGTAACATGCGGCCACCGTGGGATCTAACAAGGTGTTAGAGACGGCGATGATTGTTTTGTATTTTCCCTTCCGCTCAACTACTCCGGAAGTAGATCACGGAACCTACGTTGGACTTCTCTAGCATTCACAGGCCAACGGGGTACTCTTTGGAAACGCCTTCAGCAGCAAAGAGACTGCTATTCGTCGACATCTGATGTACAAACAACTTTCGAGAACACAGCGGATGCTTAGACTCTGCCTTCAAGTGAATCTAATCGGCGGTCTCTGCCAGTGAACGACAGCATCCACTTTTGCTCTTCTCGGTCCCACCAGACAGTGTGGTTGGGACCGGAAGACTGGGTCGTCAGATGTTAACCATCCCTCAGCCGCTTCTATTGAAAGTGAAATATTTTAAAGAACAGACCCTAACGAGTTTTTGAAACCTTTGTTCTAACGAGGGTCTCATGCACTTGTGTTTATATTGCTCTCAAGAGATATCAAGAGTGATGAGATGTTGGAAAGGTATGGTGCTTATGATGCTCGGTTTCCTTCACTTATAAACCTGGACTAGGGCAAATTTAGACCGCATGTAAAAGACATCGAACCCATTCCAGACTCGATGGTAAGAATATATCAAAGCATCAACTCAACAAATCTCAAACGCTAGAGCCTCCTCCGCTAGTACCCACGAACACCACCAGAACTGCAGCATAAGCAGCTGTCGCGGACACAACTTCGCCTATCTTGTCCAAAAACATCGGAGCGACCGCCGCGAAGCTCGTGACGCAGACCGATGTAATTACGAGTGAGGTGATGAGACCTGGTTTCAGTACCATGAGTATCATGGGACCGATGAGGAACAGATTGCCAACGACAGCCAAGGCGAATACCTCCATGTATTTTCGGAGGGCCTTCCTTCGAAACCAGTAGTCAGGTTGCTGCGGGGTTTCGAATTGCTTCTTGCGATCGGGGGGCTCGGGAATAGAATTCTGTTGAGAGCGTAGCAGTCTTCCTAATTTCTTCTTAGACTTTTTGGCGGTTCCAAGGGTTTCGTCTAGTTTAGAGCACAACAGGCTGTCTGATATTTGCTTGGGGATTTTGGCGGTTCCGCGGTCTTCGCTGCCAGGATTGAGCAGATTCTTCCAGACATCTCTAAGCATAGCTTGTTGTGACGTTGTTTCTGTTGTGATTGTAAAAGGATCTTTGACATTCGATGTCAATCCAAACTTGTTCATGTACTCCATGTCTCGCAAGGCCGCAGCTTGTTCATGTTCATTAGCCAAAGTCGATAGTCTATGGAGCTTTCCTGGACTCACTGTAATCCCGAAGCTCTCCATCTAGGACCTCGCATAGCGGTTCAATGTTTTCGGGTGTTGATGTGATGATGTTGAAGGCTTGTTTCGAAATGCGTTTCAATCGGAAATGCATACACATACTTTGTAGGGTAGCCATGTCCAGGACGAAATCCTTGTTGTATCGGTAGAGAATGCGCTTCTTGTACCTGTTATGTACCCATGTTTCGAAATCTGTGTTAAAGCCGTCGTATTCAGTATCAGGCGAAGAGTCCGACGTGGTTACAATGGTCTTCAAAGTCTGCCACAGCGTTCTCCACAGAGAGAGATCCGCTGGTAACAGATGGGCGAACTCCGGATCCTCTTCATCGCCTCCTTTGGCCAACTCACGTACACTTTCTTTCGGTCCCTTTTCCTCGTCGATGGCGGCCATGTTCGTGTTAGTTAGGTCCCTCTTTAGTGAAGGCGCCCAAAGTCAGTTTGGTACGAGACAGACAATAAAGTGGCGTCCTGGATGCACACGTTTCATCTGTGGTACTCAAGGGATAGCTTTTATACTTGAGGAATCTTTGTCAGAACGACTGAGCGTTGCAGAAGAACAGCGCCAACTCAACTGCCCAATATTTGTAACTTCTACGAGCACGAGGCTGACACTATAGCAAATCCCCTGTTGGCATGGCGTTTACCCTTTCTTATCTTACAGATGCAAGACTCTCACCGCAATACTTACATCTGTTACGAGGGGATGGATGTATGCGAAGCTCATGTCATACAGAGCGTGCATTTTATGGCTTCGACACCATAGATGCTGAGAACTTCGAGACACTGATGATTTGGCATGCATATGTGAGTAGGGCTTGTGAGACACACGCCTCTCAATAGCGTAGAACAGAATTCCAAGAGACACCAGGCGAGTCATTTGGGCGAATGAGCGTTACCACATGGAGGAGAAAACATTATCTCTCACTGCCCTACGCATCCCCTAGGATGTCGTACAGAGCAGATCGCGAGCTGCACGATCGCCTTTTGGGAACTTTTTGAGACTTTGTGAGATCCGATCCAATCGAATCTTGGGCCATCGATGCACTGATCAGTGCCAAGGCTGACACACATGACCGAGCTGAACAGAGCTCTTTCAGCAGGAAAGAGGGCGTCTGCAAAAGCTGAGGCAGTTGATAAGGCGTTGCTACGTTGATTGCAGAGAAAGATACGGCAGAGTGAGTGCGCATGGTCTAGGGCTTCCGATAACACGAGTCGATCCCTAGACAATTGGACAAGGACGAACGATGGAAAAAGCTGTGAAACCCCATCTTGCGTATGGCCCGCACGGCCACGCAAGCAGACGGCTCCAGCCAGCCTCTGCTGGCAATCGTTCTCCTCTGCTGCGGGCATGAGTGATAGAGACGCACTTATGAATGGGATTGGAGGGTCGAGCCAGCTGCCGCTTAGACTGGTGGTCCTCATGGAGAAAGTAGAAGTGAGAATCTAAAAATTTAATTCGAAGTTCCGTAACCAGGCATTTCCATGGTTAACATTGTGCGTGTACATGCTATCCAGGAGGGCGCTGATCAGGCCCAACTCTACGAGTTTGACATATTTGGTGATCCATGGAGCTTTGAGAGTGCATATCGGTCGTGGGGTTATATACGTCAGGTAAGAAGGGAATGTCGTCGGGAAAGGCGGCGTCAAACTTCACGAGTAGGGCACCGTCGTTGTTGCTCCACGCAATCTACATGTTGACTCTACCAATGACGCTTCCGGAAACAAATCTTACGTTGATAGGACTTCACAGATCTTTCTCTTGTCACTATAGGCTTCCCAAGCTAGCGAAAGGAATTTCGCTATCCGGGCGGGTAGTAGATGTATATCGATAGGGATGATCGATGATGAGGACAATAACGACAACGACAACGACAACGACAACGATCATGATAGGGACAGAGACAGGGATAGGAATGGCGACGAAAATAGTAAAATTAGATTGAAATCAAAATTAACTATTAGATTATCCGCCCGGATAGCCAGACTCACCGAAAGAAACAAAACGGACATTCGAGTCTCTTCAGTTGGGCCCCTACAACATTCTGATCTTATACGCGAGCATATATTTGATCCCAACTTCTAAGAACTAGCCCTTGAGTCGGCGTTGTCCACTGGCACGCGTGCCCAGAAGGAATCGCAACTACTGCTGGCGGCTGCCGCTTCGAACCGGGTCTGAATGGTACAAGATGGTGTCGGCGTCGGAGGCGATCTGGCTCTCGGACACTCCCGCGTGGGCTAGCAAGAACTCCTTCGAGATGCTCGAGGACGAGTTCCGCGAGCCGAAGTTCAAACCATTTAGCCGCGGTCTGTGCTTGATGAATACAACCACGACTTTCAGCACCACGACGCCTTGGTGGAGATGTTGAGGGGCATCTATCGCGAGCACGGCTGGCCTGATACAAAGCAGTATCGGAAGGCAGAGCGTATGGAGGCTGTTAGGAGAGCCATCGAGAGGCGGTTTGAGAATTCGCAACTCGAGAAGGCCTGCTAGATGCTTCTGTATGTTGAGAATGTCTTGAAAGCAGATACAATCATCGAAGTCCTGTCATGTACATGTACAGCGGGGGCTTAAGAGGACCCTCCATCGAGGGGGGATTTCCAACGGCTGTCATGTATGGTTCTAAGTGCATCTCAACTGTGTTCATCGCAAAACACAATTGGGCGTCAAAGTATTCTGCTGGTGCTAACTTGTGTGGCCCTGATTGAACTATCTAGAGACAATAAGCATGTGATCAGGCATCACACGACCTTCCTCGACATGCTCGACCTGTTCTTACGGCCATCACACCTTTTGACCCCAGATGGCTTCTCGTAAAACTCATCCCGGAAGCAAAAGAAGACGACGTTTAACAGATTTAACTTACATGCACCTCTCAAACACAAAAACGCCAGCAAAAGGAAACCGCCTATTTTTCTTGTGCTAGAGCGACTGCTTTTCCTGTGGCTATACTCTAATCACCCCACCACCGTCGTCGTCGTCGCCGCTTCAATTATTATCGTCTTTATAGTCGTCCTCGTCCTCGTCTTCATCGTCGCTGTCGCTACTATCGCTTTCGATAGTAGTAATCAAGTGCACAGGAAGTATAGCCGCGCAGACACAGGAAAATTAGGCGATCTCAGCAAAAGCCACAAGAACTCACTCACCTTGCCCCAAAAACCCACGACAACTTCATCCCCGAGACACCACCACTCCCATCCCCCTAAATCGCCGAAAACTCACACCCAGCAACTCAATATTCTCAGCCCCTAAATCCACAAAAGGCTCAGCCCGTCTCACCATCTCTCCGTCCCTCCAACGTCCCTCCCTGCTGCCCACCCATCCACACGCACAACCCAAAACATCATCATCCGAACTCCCTCCCCATGTCCACCCAACACCAGACGCTGCCATATCCCAGCGCCCTGTGTATCGATGTTCGGATCCCCCTTTCCAGAAAATTTCTGAACCCTGTGCCAATGCGCCTCCCGGCATGATCCTCTTTCTCCCGTTTCCCCTGAACACAGAGGGAAGAGAAAAGGAAGGAAGCGGACAACGCCGGCGCCAAGCCAACGATACAATCATCATCATCCGCAAACTACTAAAAGTCTAGATGAGAAAGACACGTAACGGCGTGACGCCCGAAAAAAGTTACGTGGCCGTTCATCTCAATGGCCACCAGACGGAGATCCTTTCTGTCAAAGGGGGTTCCCCATGGTTTGCATGTCCGGGACGAATCACGGACGTCCAAACAACTCCGGACGAAACACGCAACGGCCCGATGCAAGTTGTGAGACCGGACTAGCATCTCAGATGAGTATCGTCAGCAACACGCCCCAAACTCAAGTCACAAATATACCACAATCGCAAAGTGAACATCAAAAAGAAGAGAGTCCTCCAAGACGCCTGTCCGAGACAGGGAATTATGGTATCTTGTATGTACAGGCTTCCTCTGAGCTCCTAGCCAGGCGTACACACCGATAAGTAGAAAAAACGTGTCCCTCTCTTGAACGCCCTTTTTCGCTATGAGGCCGGCCAAATGGTGCCGCAAGACGTGTCTTGGCCATCAAAATCACCTGGGCCATCATGCCATGCAAATGCAATTCGTGAAAACCATGCCTTATCCAACGCCGGTATCGAATGATGTGGTTCAATCACCGCTCCGCTCCTCTTTTTGGGTCTCTCACATCACAATGCAGTCCTTGTCCTTCTCCTTGTCATCTGCGTTCTTCTTAATCTTGCCGTTCCGGGGCGGCGCGACCTCCATGGGCGTGCCCCCGCTGACGGCGGCTTGAATGATGGCGAGACGCTGCTTCGCACGTTCATCGCCAGTGTCGGCGGCTTTGACGTACCAAACGTTGGCCTCCAGGATGTCTCTCCTGCAGCCAATGCCCATCTCTGTAAAGTAGCCCACGGCGTACTGAGCCTTGACGTAGCCTATTGGTCGCTTGTCAGCAATAATCTCATTGTCAAGATTTGCGTTTCTGGAAAACTCACCGAGCTCTGCCGAACGACGCGCCCATTCGTATGCCTCCTCCTCGTCCTTCTCCAGAATCGGCTCGGCTCCGACCATATACCACGCACAAAGCCCCATCATGGCACCCGCATGGCCGCGTTCAGCAGCTCCCGTGTAGAAGTGAACGCTCAATGCCGGGTCCCGAGGACAGCTCAGCTTGCCGTGCTCGTATGCCTCGCCCATGCGAAAGTTGGCTTCCGGATGGCCCAGCTCTGCTGCGGCGGTGAACAACTCGGCGGCGTAGGTTTCGTCGCGGAAAATGTCGTCACCGTAGCCAGTCTCGTAGAGGCAACCCAATTGATACGGAGCAGCACTGTATACTGAATCCGCTGC